GCATATCTATAACATTTCAGGTCTTGACTTTCAAGTGAAGCATATGAGTGAGGAGCTAAAAAAGACTCGTGAAGAGATTGTTAAGCAGAAGGAAGTAGTTCAACAAGTTGTCAAGAATATCTTCGTTGGGTGGTAAAACCTATTTGTGTGCTCTGTTTTGTAATAGACCTTAATGTAAGTTTGCCAGCCTATATTCGTGAAGAGATTGTTAAGCAGAAGGAAGTAGTTCAACAAGTTGTCAAGAATATCTTCGTTGGGTGGTAAAACCTATTTGTGTGCTCTGTTTTGTAATAGACCTTAATGTAAGTTTGCCAGCCTATATTCTATTTGTGCGTTTTGTAATAGACCTTAACATTAAGCTTTCATTATCCTATTGATGTGTTTGGTTATAGACCTGAATCATAACAAACTTAATTGTACGTAGTACCAGTACTACGAAATTAAAACAAATTAGTTTTACTTAGTAATACCACTAATACAAAATAAAAACAACTTAGTTTTATGTATTTTTACCAGTACTACTAAATCAAAACAAACTTAATTGTATGTAGTAACACTAGTAGTACGAAATTAAAACAAAATAGTTTTACTTAGTAATCCTGACACACATAACTCATAATTCGTAGTACTATGGGCATCTCCTTCTTTTCCTTCTTAGCCATTTATGCCTTCAGCCTCTCTGCCCTAATAGACTTCCTTGTTGCCTTTGTTGGCTTCTTAACCTCCTCTAGCTTCTACCTCTTAACCTCCTTAAGTTTCGTGTTTATTGCATCCCTCTCCCGTTCCGCATGTGTCATTTTGTAGCATTTATACTATTAAAATGGAAGCAATCAAGGGTGCATGCTAGAATTATTCCTGTCACCAAACAGAAATTATCCCAGTTATCCGAATTTTCAGAATAACCCAGAAGGAAACTGGGTCGGATCCTGTTAAAAAGACCATTTACCCCCACGTTTTTCAAAGGAGAATTTTTTGGAGTGAGGTCATTTCTGTCCAGAACACATTTCGGACCCTTGCTGTTTGGAAACAGGGAATAGCAAAGAAAAAGTGTCGAAAGTGTCAAAAGGGGACAGACATCGGATCTTCGACCGACCCGCAAAAAAAACACGCGGACCCTATGAACTTAAATCGGACTGGCCAAATAACCGGACGAAGCTGACATTCGAAAGATTTTCCCTGTTTCAAGAAATTCCGTTATTGGACGTACGAAATCTTTTCAAATCATTCGAAAATCCCAAGTAAAGAAAACATACCTAAGAACAGGTCCTAATAACTAATACAAAAGAATTCCTTCATCCTCGGGACATATCAAGAGATATCCCATAACATGCTCCTGCAGTTAATAAAATATATACGAAATCAAAACGAGATATCACTTCAGATATTATTACATTGATAAACTAATAGATTAGGGAATCTTTCCAACCTCAACAGATTTGTAATCCAAGAGAATATGCCGTGGGCAGCAATTCTGAAACCTCCGAAGCCCTAGGCATAAGATACAACTCCAAACATTATAAATATGTAGCCTTTGTCACATTAAAGGTCATCAAACATCAAACACATCTATTTTACCTCCTCCTCGCAAAATGACTATTGGATGCGCCTTCGCCAAGCTTGCTGATGTCCGACCTTTCAAGACAACATGGAAGGTCCGCGTTAAGGTGATTCACTCCTGGAGGCAGTACAGCGGCATGTCCGGCGAAACGATGGATCTGGTTCTCGCTGATGAACATGTAAGTTTAAAACCTATATGTAAATTTCAATGCTAATCGTATGTTTCAGTTTGCGTTATAATGACAAGTATCTATACTTATATTTCCAGGGTACTAAAATGCATGCTGGAATTAAGAAGAAGGATATAGGCCGGTTATCAAAGCTTCTGGTCGTTGGTGAATGGAAAGTGTTGGAGAACTTTCAGGTATCTCCTGCAACCGGGCTATTTCGACCAACTCCAAGCAACTGGAAGATTGGGTTGTCCATGAACACAATCGTTACCACATGCAGCATCAAAGTGGACGACATGTTCCTTTCGTTGGTACCTATCCAGACGATCCTAGATGGTGATTTGAATCACAATTTCTTGATTGGTAAGTAATCTATCCGTGCTTACAATCTACATCTGATGTATACTATTAAATTGCTGACTTGAAATGAGAGAACTTACATATTCAATCGGGAACTTGTGTACATGTTTTCCAGATGTCATTGGACAGGTTCTTGATGTGAGTGAGATCAAAACTGTTCCTGTACTTGGGAGAGAAAAGCGGAAGCTAGAGTGCGTGCTTAGGGACATTAAGTAAGTATAGATACACTTATCATCAGTTCAATCTGTGGTTATATTCTCTATATATCTAAGTATTTTCTTAATAAATTTTGCAGTGATCAGAGAATCAACTGCTGTCTTTGGGCGGGATACGCTGACCAACTGTACGAGGCATGCAGTAAAGCTAATGGGAAAACATTAATTTGTTTGATCAGATTTGCGAAACTCAACTTTTATCAAGGCAAGCTTATACATCAACTATATATCAACCTGATTGCAACCAAATCAACTTCGTTTAAACATTTTTGAGATATGAAATATTTCTATTAGGTGATATGCAAGTAACTAATGCTTTTGACGCATCTAAGCTTATCATCAACCCTATTTGCGAAGAAGCAGATGCTTTCAGGATTGGGTTAGTAATATGTCTAAACTATATTTTTGCTAATTGTTTTAATTTACACAATATAGAAGAAGAAAACTAACCTTCTGTACTTGATGCCTTCAGCTTGCCAGATGACGGTGCGATTGTTGTCATCCAAGAGGATGATGAAGAGGCTGAGAAGCAAAGGATAAAGGAGCAGGAAGATGCGTGGCTGGCGTTGGAAATGAAATCTGTGTATGACATTCAGAATGCTACTGAGGTAAACACATTCATATGTAAGACAAATAGATTGAACGATTTGATAGTGATTTACTTATCTAAAATAATGTAATACCTCGCAGATAAGAAATTCAGGATTTCTGTCAAAGTGACTGGAATTGATACCGACTGGGGTTGGTATTATTTCGGATGTGGAAAGTGCCAGTTCAGGGTCACCAAGGATCTGAAGAAGGAAGGAGCCACAAAACCTCGCCCCAAAGCACCCGTGTGGTACTGTGACAGATGCAAATCAAATGTCAAAACTGTTGAAGCAAAGTGAGTAGTTCCAAATTTTTTTCTGTTTTGGTTCATCAGTATAGATATAATAGTTGCCATTGTGATCACATGGAATATTTGCATATGCAGGTTCAAGTTGCACCTTCTGGTAGAGGATGACTCGGCCAAAACAAAGGTTATGCTTCTTGATTCCGTTGCTTATGGCATCGTGGATAAAACAGCTTCCTTCCTGCTAAACGGATCATACGATGAGGTAATATCATTATCAGAAGCTGCATAATATGTTTCCTGTTATACTAGCTCACGTTTTAACGAGATGCCTATTTATTATGAAAAAAACAGATTCAGGATCCAGAATTAATACCCGATGACGTCAAGAGTTTAGTTGGAAAAAGTTTCGAGTTTCTGGTCGGTGTCGAGAAGGAACACATTGTGTATGGAAATGACACCTACAAGGTGCATAAGGTAAAGAAAGGACTTCTCATTCTCGACACGGAATCTGGCGATGGACCATTCACTGCCATTGATAATGGTTCGACCATTGCATCTGGCGAGGAGGTTAGCACACCCTGTTCTCTTACATTCACGTTAAACCCATTTTGTATTGAAATGAACATAATATGAACTTTGATTAATCTTTGAATCCTCACCTATGTTTTAGTTGTCGGTTGTCAAGAGTAACAGCCAAAGCATTTCAGATGATGGTTCAACCCCATCACCGAAGCGTGATTTTGAATCAATGCATGGTGTCCCAGCCGGCTCTTCCACTTCGAAGAAGCATTGCCCCAAGCAACTTCCTACAGAGGCCAGTAGAGAGCTGGTCAATCCGGATGGACTAATTAGCCAGCATCCCGAAGCAAATAAGAGCGAAGCTAAGCTCCACCAACTCACCGAGAATTGACGTTAAGCGTAGCATGCAGAAGAGTCTCCAATAATTTATTGTTTTCAATCAAGGATCGAGCTTATGTTCTCCATGTGTTTTTATTTTGCTACACAGTTGGTTTTCTATTTATTTCATTTCTTTTTCTGGCAACTTTTTAAAATAATGGAGCTTTTGTTTTACATTTGTTTGCTTAACTATATTTTTCTATATCAACTATCAATACACAAATACAACATGGAGACTTTTCCAAACTGAGTAGGATACGTACCTAATAGATGCCAGATTTCAACATGCTCTGAAACGTCATATACTAAATTAACCGCAGTTATTGGATTACCTGCAAGTAATGTGATCTACAAATGTTCAAGATGGTCTAACCCGTATATATTCATAAACCTAGAAAATATAACTCAAACTTTATTGGAAATAATGTGATCTATCTTTAAATAATGTGAGGGTGTCAATAGACATGTTTTTGCAAAAGATGGCACTCTCTAATTATATTATATAACCAAATTATAATCGAGGTCAAAATACAATTAATTGGACGATTAAATATTCTGTTTGAGATTTGTATTTTGTAAAAGTTAGTTGTTCATATAAGTGGGAATGTTTATATATTTGAAAAGTTTGGTGAAACCGGGAATCTCAATTGTTATATTTTAAGCTTGCCGCCATGTACAATTATAAGATTTTGAATAATCGAATGAGATCTCCGGAGTATCTTAGATTGGTTAAACTAAGGAAGAAGTATTTAGCAATGAACAATTGTACATGGATAGATATTACCTCTTTCACAAAGATGACCTTCAGTGAAACATCCCCTGCGTAACCTCTTAAAAGAAATCACAAGGAGGTTAATTAGAAGAGAAGCAGGTATTGTCAAACAGACCATTGTGATTTTCCTTTGACCAAAAAACTTTGTCTACATTTCTACGTAACTTAGACCTTTTTGTTTATGCAGTTGGAAAATGGTTCGTCTTAAAAATGTAGGCACAGACACGTTTAATAAGAACACTAAACCTCCAGTCACGAGGAAGAGGAAATTGACCGCAAGTAACAATGAAAATGTAGATCCAAATTCAGAACCGGTAACAGACACCCATCTCCTTTTTTTATTGTCATATTGATGAAGTAGGATCATGATGATGATTTGGTTTTCATGGTTAGGTGAAAAATCAAAATGAAAACAAAGGTTCAGCTGCGAAACTCACTGCTAAAGCAAATATTCAACCTAAGAGAAGCAGAAAGAAAACGAAGGACGTGAACACTGAACCAAATGCAGCAACGAGAATTAGCGATAAGTGTAATAACAACACTAAACCTCCAGTCACGAGGAAGAGGAAATTGACCTCAAGTAACAATCCAAACTCAGAACCGGTAACAGACACCCATCTCCTTTTTTTATTTTATTATCTAATTGATGAAGTAGAATAATGATGACCATTTGGTTTTCATGGTCAGGTCAAAAATCAATCTGAAAACAAAGGAGATGCTGCGAAAGTCACTGCTAAAGCAAATATTCAACCTAAGAGAAGCAGAAAGAAAACGAAGGGTGTTAACAATGAACCAAATGCAGCAACGAGAATGAGTGGACCATGTATACTCTCAAATATATTTTTAGAAAACTAATTGATGATGTTGAAGGCATATCTAAACGAACTACCATCCCGACGAAGGAAAAGCCTAAACGTAAGAATGGAAAACCAGTCGGGCCAACACTTTCTACACAAGGTAATGCTTATCGTCCATGTTTTTATGCAATGAATATATCCTGTATATGCACACCTCTAAATAAGAATTAAGAAGTTAACTATGTATCTGTTTAACAAACAGAAAATGAGTCAAGGGTACAGAACTTACAAACGAGGAAGAGACAACGTGGAAGGAGAGTACTGCAGGATATCTCAAACTTGCCAGATGACGATGATGTTTCTGTAGGACTTTCGGATGATAACCTGGATGAAGAACGACCACATAACTATCCGGATCTTTTAAACTCTGATGAAGGTGATAATTTATATTATGATTTTTAGACATTGTAAACGTTAGCCTAGATCTGTAACTTATCATCGTGATTTGTATTAACAGACGATGAAGGGGATTACGAACACATTTTCCAATGTAGTAGTCCTGATAGCACAGACACAGAAGATGGTGATAATGATAAATACCAACCTTCTCCATCACATCTGCAACAAACGCATATCTCCGAACAAGAACCTCCTTCGACCGTACACATAGTTCCAACACTTCCTGAGAGTGTGATTACTCAAGAAACTGTTCAACCTTCTCCAACTCTGAAAAAACGAAAGAGAGTGAGTATGGCAAAAAAGAAAGAAACTGTACCCGATAAGATTGGTAAGCTAATTAGAAACAACGTGTTATATGTATGATGCAACATCGAACTTTTTGTATAGTAAATCCTGATTTGTATGTTCACTGTGTTGTGCAGTATACAATGACGAGGGTGACATGACTTATTCGTGCGTGCATTGTGGTGCTAAATTTTGGTATGGAGAACGACTAAACAGAAGAAGGACGACGGGGGATCCATCATTCAACCTTTGTTGTATGCACGGCCAAGTCAAATTGCCTTTACTAAAGGATCCTCCTGCTCTTATTAAAAAATTGCTGTTTGGGGATGATGAAAATTATCACCTAATTGGAAGTAAATTTATCAGAATCTACAACATGTTGTTCTCTATGACGTCTCTCGGAGGTAAAACTGATCGTTCTATCAAAAAAGGAAAGGGTCCAAACATGTTTCAGCTGCACGGAGAAAATTACCACCTAATTGGAAGTATGCTTCCAAACCCCGGTGATTATGCAAAATTCTATCAGATGTACATAGTTGATTCTGAAAATGAATTGGACAACAGACTGAATTTTTTCAGGTAATATATTTTAGTTTAAAGCTATTGTCATAATAATTATGAAGTCATTACCAATTTAGGGTTTTGTCATTGCGTTTCAGTAAGGGGAAACACGCATCCAAGCCAGATAAGAAGAATAGACTCAGGAAGGACATCATTGATGCGCTGACAAAGATGCTCGACGATGTCAACCCCTATGTCAAGAATTTCAGGACTGCAAGAGAAAGATTCAACACTAATCCTCAAGATAGTTTTCATATGAGGATAATTAGTGATCGTGTTACAGATGGTAGAACTTACAATGTTCCAACTGTGTCTGAGGTTGCTGCAATTATTCCCGGAGATTTCAATTTAGAAATGGGTACAAGACGGGATATTGTTCTAGAGAAACGATCAGGCAAGCTGCGACGGATAAGCGAAATCCATCCAGCCTACATACCACTGCAATATCCTCTGGGGTTTTCTTATGGAGAAGATGGTTTCCGACTTGGAATTAAGAAAGCCAATGTTGAAGCTTCTAAGAAGACGAAAAAGGAAAACATCAGCGTTAGACAGTTTTTTGCGTATCGTCTAATGGTTAGACCAAACGAGTCAAATCACTTGCTACACTCTAGGAGATTGTTCCAGCAGTATCTGGTTGATACCTACACTATGATAGAGTCTAACAGATTATCCTACTTGAGATTGAACCAGACAAGTTTGAGGTCTGATAGCTATGACTCTATCAAACAAGCGGAAGACCACGGTGTTATTGAAATGGATGAACAAGGCAATAAATTTCTGCTACCTGCGAGTTTCACTGGTGGACCAAGATACATGAGGGAGTTGTATTTTGACGCCATGGCCATTTGTAGACATCATGGATTTCCAGATCTTTTCATTACTTTTACATGCAATCCTAAATGGCCAGAAATATCAAGGGATCTCGCAGGGACCCGTCTAAGTGCCACTGATAGAGCTGAACTTATTAGCAGAGTCTACCGGATGAAACTAAAATCTCTTATGGAAGATCTAACTCTCAAAAACCTGCTGGGAAAAACGGTGGCCTGTAAGTTTACGAAGCCCCTACTTTTATCGTTGATATCTGATATGCATATTCCTATATGTTGATAACTATTTATCTAACGATGAGACATGATTGGCAATGCAGCTATGTACACCATAGAATTTCAAAAGCGAGGTTTGCCACATGCACACATTCTTCTATTCATGGATCAGAAGTCAAAGCTCCAGACAACAGACGCTATTGACGATATTATATCCGCCGAAATACCAGATAAATCAAAAGATCCAGAGTTGTATGATGTTGTGAAAGATATGATGATTCATGGACCATGTGGTCATGCCAACCCCAATTCACCATGTATGAGCAATGATATATGTACTAAGAACTTCCCCAAGAGCCACGCTGAAAAGACTACAATCAATAGAGAAGGATTCCCATTATATAGGAGACGCGATCAGCCCAATGTGTTTGTGGAGAAGAACGGTTTTAAATGCGACAACAGATACGTAATTCCATACAACAAAACCCTATCCGTCCGTTATAGAGCACACATCAATGTTGAGTGGTGTAACCAGACGGGGGCTGTCAGATATTTATTTAAGTACATCAACAAAGGAGCCGATCGTGTTTCTGTTGTCGTTGAGTCAGCTGAGGAAGCCAGGAGAAAAACAAAGAGCGGACATAAGGATGTTAGTGGAGATGCCAACAGTCGATCAAATGATGAGGGTGTTAGCGCAGAGAAGAAAGCTTCCAAGGAAAATAGGAATGAGATCAAGGACTACTTTGATTGCCGGTATGCTTTATTATTTGTCTTTAGCCTCCATTTAAGCGATATGACTGTTTTCTTAGCTGTGGTCATATCATTATCTTTTATTTTAGGTACATTTCACCCTCTGAAGCTGTTTGGAGAACATTCAAATACCCGATACACCATAGATCTGTATCAGTGGAGAAACTGACATTCCACCTCGAAGGGAAACAGTTGGTTATTTACAAAGGTAGTGACAAAATGGAGAGGGTCGTAACACGTAAACTAATTGAGAAGACAATGATGCTGGCATGGTTTGAACTGAACAAG